TTCAATGGTGACCCTAGATTTGGCTTTGACCTTGACCTTCAAGGTTATTTCAAAGTCAAGTTCATTTTTTCAAATTTCCTACTTTTGACCCCGGAAATGAAAAGAGCGGAAAATTTTACGTTCAGATATGTCCTTGACCATTTTCCGAATTTGACCTCTGATGGTCATTAAAGGTCAAATCAAGGTCACGCATGGTTTGACGCGCTGTCTTGAAAACAACGGGTTGCAAAAAAAATGACCATAACTAACGTTGTAGGATTTTTTCCTGGCTATCTGACGGTTACCCTTGATTTGACCGTGACCTTCACCTCCAAAAACCGCACTATATCAATTTTGGCAAAAATCGGTTGATTTTTGAAATCGTGTCCGCCATCTTGGACTAAAATTCCTCAAAAACAGATTTCAGATTCGTAGTCAGCGACCCCAAAAACCCCCTTACCAAATTTGGCGTAAATCGATTAATTTTTTGGAATCGCGTCCGCCATCTTGGATCCGCCATCTTGGAAAATGGTCAAGGACACATCTGAACGTAAAATTTTCCGCTCTTTTCATTTCCGGGGTCAAAAGTAGGGCATCCCATTTCAGAAAATGAACTTGATCCTGAAATAACCTTAAAGGTCAAGGTCAAGGTCAAATCTAGGGTCACCATTGAATAGCCAGGGAAAAATCCTAAATCATTTGTCTGAATCATTTTTCCTCAAAATTCATTTTTCGAAAGTTATTGTGCTGTTTCCATACTTTTGGGACACGTATATTAACTATGATAGTACGTTCCATTTTTGTGTATAACAAAAAATTATGCACCGCACAAAAATATAAATAAGTATTTTCAAAACGGATGTTCCATTAATCTGCCACCACTTCATCATTAGATTTTACATTAAAAAATAAGAAGAGTTCTCGTACTCACAGATGTGAAAATGCTTCCTAACTGAGATATGGGCCCTTGAATGAGAGCCCTTGTGGAATAAGTTTAGTTTAAATTATTTTCTTATTTTGGAGCGTCGAATGAAACTTGGCAATCTAGTTGTAGGACATCCTGTATAAATCTCAGGAGTATTGATAAATCTAAGTAAAAATACGCAATTACTCGAAGATTTCCAATAAATTGAGAAGGAATTTCCTAAGTGATTTTAACCATCTAATGAACTGTTATTTTAGGCTGCAGATAATCTTTTACTGATTTAGATATATCATTTCCAGTCATGCCTTCTTTTCTGTAACAGTGTTAGGAGTACCTATTATTAGCATAAGAACATAGTTTTGCACAATTTGCGTCTATTTGATAAAACATAAGAATGATAAATTGAATAATTTTCCATAATTACATGAGTACTTCTAATTATTGCCAAATTGGTTTTATCGCTAGTTCACTGACTACCTGCTTCTAATATTGTCGAAGTTCAAACGTCCGAACGTCTGTTGATGAACGATATATTTATTCTGTAAAAAATGAATGCGTAAGCTTCCGATGGAACCCATCCAAAGGACGATTCTCAGTACAATAAAAAAATTTCACACCAAAATAACTTTGTCATTGATTTTCAGTATATTGGAAAAATAAAATTTTTACGGGGAATTCCTTTGTAAAAAAAAACAATTGGGCATTCACTCCAAAGGTATAATACTACTAATGGTTTTAGAAGCTACGCTGCCTAGAAGCCGAGAGATCCTCATTGCACCCAATGACTGGTTTTCACTGTTGATTTTCAAAATTCAAAATGGGAAACGAGAACAGAGGAAACAGCACAGATTGTTGGGTTGGGACTATTAGTTATCACCAATTTGAGAGCGATAAAGTAAGGAGTAGAAGTATTGTTTTAAACTAAATTATTCTTGTTTTCTTATTTATCTAATGGCAGAATTTCCCAATATTCTTATTTCCTTTCCACTTAAAAATACATTGACAATAAAATTATTGTAAGTTGCGGGATACGGGATTCAATATTCATAACATTTTTATCTTTAACACACAGTAAAATGAATAAAGAAAAGAAGAACAAGAATGGAATGTCCGTCATAGTTGGCAGTGTCATTTTAGGCAACTCCTGATTCCACCTCGATACATCCATTTCAAAAACCAGAGTGAAACTTCTATGGATTCGTCAACAAATTTATTGGTTTAGTTAGAAATGATTTTACTAGTAGTTAGAAATAGATGGCTCATCTGATGTCAAAAGAAACTTGCAGATAAGTTAAAGAAGGGATGATACTTGTCCACAAATTAGTATGTGGGGATGTTCCACGTTACACGTTCGTTATTATTTATTACATTTATAATTTTTATAATTATAGCAGCTAAAGTAGGAATTTGTTTCTTTTCGTGACACTCTTCTCTAATTCTCTGAATCTGAGAATTGGTCAGTATGATGGACAGTTATCCGTGAACGGCACTAGCATTACACGAGCAAGTTCTAAATTTTGCATGTATAGGTGCCGCATATTTTTAGGCAAGAAAAATTACCATGTAAACACTTATGCCCCTTCGCTGGCTCGTAATTCTTTAGCTCATCAACAACGTGGAACTGTTTTTATACCTAATTGCTACTAGGCGAAAAAATTGTGTTTTTACATCAACACCAAGAACAGAAGAAAATGGTTTAACAGCAAAATTCCTGAGCTAAAGCTGGTTCCCTTCCATGTAAGTTGATATATGCTGTGCATCTGGCGGGACAAATAAGCCATCGTTTACCACATATTACTTCCATTGAATGTAACCATCACTTGTTGAGATTTATTACCAACAATTCCGTCGTCTTGAAGTTGCAGTACAAGAAAAACGCCGTAACGGCATAATCGTGTAGCGACTATCCAGGAGATCGAAAGCTGTACTTAGAAGGTTATTCTTCTGATCTTGCGCCAGTAGGTTTCCACTTTTTCTGTCGAACAACCTTCAATGAATCTCCGTTGACGATGACGTCGCCCTTAAAAATTGATTTGATGAACTCTTCCAAATTACTAATTTCAAGCGCGGAATAGCAAAAGTGCCAGACATTGCTAGCGTTCATTTTAAGGAAGAAGAACTGCTTAGGAATCGTTTTAATTTTTTTGTTTATTCTGATGACGTGAAGTAATCCAAATATTTTATCAGTCATAACATATCCGATATCTTGAATAAGAAATTAAAGATGAGTATCCCTGGTAGCAAATATTTGAAAGTAGCTCTGGTAGTGACACAATAAATCAGTCCGTACACACCATTTAAAAAATATAAGACAACCTACATGAAAGAAAAAGGCTTTTTGACCCATCCTTGTACTTCCGTAATTATTATTTGGTATACCTCTCATCTCACTTAATCACAGTGACATGTATGTATACAGGAGAATTATCGTGAATGCACTAGATATTGCAATGGGTCGCAGTTAGAACACCCTTTAATACATCGCTTAAGTGTACTCTTGAGAAACGACAGGTAGCTGCATATCTGCATTCAAGGGAAATTGGAAATGGAAGCATAAACGATAATCATTAATATGTACTCAAATGCATTTCCTGTCTCATATGTATAATGGAGTACCTTTCAGCAAACAAATTATGAGATATGTTAACTTATAATTTACTTTGCTGCTGCTGTTGCGAACAACAATTTTATTACAAAACTTTGGCTGAATATAGCTTAACATATTTAAAGTAACTTTTGACGTTTTGGTGGCTGTAGTTCAAAGCCGATAAAGTGTTTTTTCGTCCAATGCGGCATTTGCAGTCTTATCCTCTACAAGAATTGTAACTATAGATTACAATGACTTTAACATTAGTACTTGTCATAGTGTGTGTTAGTTAATTTGTTAAATACAGGTGTCAGTCACGCAATGCAAGTATTAAAGTCACTAGATAGTGACTTTAGGGAGTATGTTGACCTACATAAACTCTGCGGTATTAAATACTCTGTCTGTACCAGAAACTTAAAATTCGTAAAAATCAGTAAGACCAGATACAATTTTCTTAACTTTGAAATAATATCGATTGTATATTTTCAATGCATGTATATTTTTGAGATTGTTGGTGGAAAAAAATTAAATTTATTACACGAACAATATTGTGTGGTAGGAGTAATTCACAAACACTAACCTAAATAATCATTAAATCCATGTAAACGAAACTTAATGAATGAAAATTAAATGTCTATCCCATTTGAATCCTGGGTGACAAGGTATGATAATCAAGTAAGTGGAAATAAATTTCTCGTTGGCAACTCATTAAATTTTAACCTATAAACGCGCATACTGGTGTGTTCATATTTAATGACTACCAGTAGATCTGATTATCCCGCGAGGTAACTAGAACTTGGGATAATTTCCATGTAAGAGAAAAATAGTAATTAAATTGCATTAAAGTAGATATGCTCTTCATCTCCACACGTTTAATTAAAAATACATCTTTGGTGAAGCAATAGATAACAATTTTTAAAAACAGGGGTTAATAATTCAGAATAAATGATTAATGAATTGAAAACTATTTAGTTTTATTAAATATCTTCAGAAATTACAATATATTCATTAACATAACATATCTATTATCTCTTATGACATAATATTTAGAATATAATTTACACAAGTCAACTTTTAAAATTGAAAATTCCATTTAATGACTAAAAGCTTCAATACAAATATTTATTAATATCAGAAAGTTAACTAAATGAGCTGTACTATAGTTTTTAGAGAAAAATTGTGTTCAAATATCGAATTCCAAAATAGAAATAGCTAGTCAGTTGAATTATGATTAGATTAAATTAATGTCGAAATCAGTTTTCGTACTACATATGCAAGATGTTCATATTAATATTTCAAATATTTCATCTAGAACGTGTTCATAGTGTCGCATCACCACACTTCCCCTATATGTGGCAAGAAGTACGTTTTGCATTTTTCTTGGATGTAAAACCTCAAATGCTTCTAACGTAGCAGGACACTCTAATTTACTTACTCCTTACGGTAAAAAAAATCAGTTACCCTGACGAAATTTGAGAAAATTAACTAACAAAATTCATTATTTCATACCTTTGCTGATACGTTTCGAAATCCAAGAACAATACTTAACAATTTCTCGGTAGGTGTTACCCTAAAGCTGCAATGTCTCCCACGTATGGGACCATATTCCGTATCTTCGTAGACGTTTAGGCATTGCTTATATGCGCCATATTCTGCCAAGTTACCATTTAAGATGCCTGATGCAACTTTTGACGAAGAGTCAAACACTGAAAAAAAATACTGGTACTGATTATATATACAAATATTCATACATAATTTCTTTTCTTTGAAACTAAACTGAAGCTTTCGATGAGGAAAATATATTTAATTTAGACAGAACTTATTCAAAGAAAGTAATTGTTTTAGGAAATTAATACCTTTCTCAGATTCGAGTTATTTACAGTCTATATCTATTTATATATAACAAAACTTGTTTATTTTAATGAGCTTTATACCAATAACAAAAATCTGAACATAGGAATTCATATGAAGAATGTATTGGAAATTAAGATTTAATGATAATTCTATTTTAAAGTATTATACAAAAAAAATAAACCATACTCGAAAAAAAAAACAAGCAAATATGAACATGTCGAAAGAGAATAATTACTATTTTCGTCATATTATCACGAGACACACCACACTAAATGTTATTACCTATATATTGAGATGAATCAAAAGTTTAAGTTTCAGTATTAGGATGATTATATAATTCATTAGAAATGTAACCAATAGCAATTACGAATTTTACGTAGTTACTATGTATTGATAAGCGATATGCTCTTGACGACGTTGTATAACCGTTTTGGTGTTTCGCCTCCTCCAACAATGTGAACTATGTCATAGTAACGAGAGTTTTAACATTTGTTAAACGTCAAAAAAAATGGAACTAGTAACCAATAAAGTTAGTTAATTCATTATGTAATCGTATCGAATACCACTCGAGCAAACGAAAATATTCGATTATACTAACCTCCTCACTCGACGTATATCCTTAAAACACCACTCCAGCTACGCTGTCGTGGTGTTTCGCAGAATACGTCNTGACGAAGAGTCAAACACTGAAAAAAAATACTGGTACTGATTATATATACAAATATTCATACATAATTTCTTTTCTTTGAAACTAAACTGAAGCTTTTGGTGAGGAAAATATATTTAATTTAGACAGAACCTATTCAAAGAAAGTAATTGTTTTAGGAAATTAATACCTTTCTCAGATTCGAGTTATTTACAATCTATATCTATTTATATATAACAAAACTTGTTTATACCAATAACAAAAATCTGAACTTAAGAATTCATATGAAGAATGTCTTAGAAATTAAGATTTAATGATAATTCTATTTTAAAGTATTATACAGAAAAAATAAAAGCAAATATGAACATGTTGAAAGAGAATAATTACTATTTTCGTCATATTATCACGAGACACACCACACTAAATGTTATTATATATTGAGATGAATCAAAAGTTTAAGTTTCAGTATTAGGATGAAAATATATTAATGTCAAAGAATGACAATGTAAGAGTTAAGTAAGTAATAGATTTGAAATTAAGAAGACAATTAGATGCAAAATGACAGTTTAAAGTATAAATTTTGATGAAATATCAATCTAAATTAATAAAAGTGGTCAAAAAATAAGGGTATATAGCAAAATAAGGATTAAGTAGTATTGCAAATTGGAAATGTAAAATTAAAAAGTAATCTGATTGGTTAAATTAAAAAGGATAAGTTAAGAAAAATTTGTATTTAAAAATAAGAGTGCAGTGCAGTGGTAATCAAGGAGACAAAAAAAATAAATAAGACAGGAGAGAGGAGATATAATTGTCAAAACAGAAAAAAAAGATTGTATAAGAAAAAATTAAATAAATTAAAGGAGACGAAAGGAAAATAACACGAAGCTGATAGTGAAAATCAGTTGCTGAGAAAAAGAAAGAAAATAATTTTCTTAAGGAGTAAGGAGAATACAAAATTGTTGTTTATCCTGCAGGAAACTATAAAGGAAGGAAGATAACAACAGAGAAAATTAAAAGTAGAGAAAATTGTGTTTGAAGAAAAAATAAGCGTATACACGAAGTTTGACAGATAACTAAAGAGTAATAATCAAATAGTTATATTAGTAAAATTATTTGAATTGTCGTAGCTAGGAATAAAGGAGACAAGGAGTAGGAGCTATTAAGGCGAGTCAGGAAATTGCAGCCAGCAGAGCGATACAAGAGACAGAGAAATGAACAAATTGACAAAAAGGAGAGAGTGAGTGGACGAAAAGAAGGAAGAAGACATGAGAGAAATAGCAGAAAGAAAATTACTACTTAAAAAATCGTGGACATTAAAAGAAAGAAAGGACAATAGATATGTATGTATAGGTAATAAGTAAATGTTAGTTTGTAGGGTAGAAATAAATTATCGCAGGATAAATAGGGACATTTTTAAAAAAGATTATAAATTTATGATTTATTATGTCAATATAAAAATTTAAACACAGATTACAACAATATTATTTAATTTTTCTTAACAAAGTTAATTACAAGTAAAACCTATTTCGTGAACCGACTACTGAGATAAGACCTCCTGCTCTATTAAATTTGATATCTATTATTTATACAAAATTGACATAGGTAATCTAATTGTCATTGAAATTATCAAACGTGAAACAGAATCCCATTTTAAATCAAGAATACTTGATAAAAAAATAAAATTTTTTTAATTTACAATTTATATTTCAAAATCAAATTGTGTGATAACAAATAAAAAGCTAGTCTGGTAAGTAAAAAAAAAATATATTTTCTAAAAATAATATTCAATATTTCCACTGACGCTCAGCATTACATATTACATAGAACATTTATCTTAATTGGAGCATCTCAATATATTACCCAAATGTATGTATTTGTATAGTAGTTTCAGTTTCCTTTTCTATTTTTTTTTTATATTTTGCCATCTGTGAGAAAAACAAAAAAGTAACTAAGCAAACTCATGTAGCATCAGTCAAAAAGTTATTTAAATCTAGCCACAATAAATCACGTAAGTACAGTTAATTTATAACAATTTCAAATGCGTTCGTCAATACTAAGAATGATATTTCTTTTATTTGTTTATCTGTTTTGATAGTATGATATTCATTATTATTACTAGCCTTGACTATATGCACTACAAGTATCCATATTGATATACTTACATCTTTCACGCTTTAGTAAAATTTTAGAATTGAGATTTTTTTAGTATAACAATTTGAACAAATTTTGGCAAAAAAATCCGTAGAGTATTGGCTGGCTGAAAAACTGTTGTTAAACTTGTTACATATCCTCTGTCATTTTGTCGATAATACAAGAATATACAGGCTATTACAAATTCACTTCTCACTACAGGGATCTCGGAAACGGTAAGAGATATGTAGTAGCTTAATTGGGGGCAAAGTTGCGTAATCAGGGGACCAACAATATGCCTCTAAAAAATCAAGGCTAACATGATTAGTTTTCGAAATATTTGAAAAAGCCGAAATTTTAGAAATCCGTATTTGTATAATTTCAGCCTTGATTGAAGAGATATTGAAAAACGAAGAACACGATGGATTTCACAGGGTCTAACGACACTTACACTGTACGATAATTCAATAAACAAAGAAATCTAAATAAAAAATTTAGATAAATTCGGAACGAATACACTGAAGATGAATTTTTCTATACAAAACATCTAAATCTGGTTAGGGCTGAGGCAGTACAGTATTGGAGATTATGAAGGCTTGCAAAAAATGTAATAAAATTTCTAGGGTCGTATTTAAAACAATGAAGTTGATGATGGCCCTAGAGAGACAAAACGTTACAAATAAAAATTGATTATGCTATTCGATAGAGGGCAAAAAGTGGCCATGAGATAGTGTTCTTCTTTTTTCGATATCACCTCAAACAAGGCTGAAATGATACAAAAACGGATTTCCAAAATTTAGGTTTTTTTTTCAAATATTTCGAAAACTAATCATGTTAGCCTTGATTTTTTAGAGGCGTAATGTTGGTCCTCTGATTACGCAACTTTGCCCCCATTTAATCTAGTTTGTATCTCTTACCGTTTTCGAGATCCCTGTAGTGGGAAGCGAATTTGTAACGCCTGTAATCTAATTCGAGCTCTTTTTTATTCATGAATAAAGATTTGGTTCTTTCATCGCTTTTATAACGTTACAAATACTTTAAAGAGAAATTCATATATTTTTATAAATGTCCATCTCACTCTTTCAAACGTTTCAGTCAGACCATCTCATGCATAACAGAGCAATTTTATCCAACACAATGAAGCTAAAAATAAAATCGTATCTACAAAATTCGGTTGAGTTATCAAAGATAAGAACAGAAGTACTTACTCTGCAAAGCCCAAGGTTCCAAAGCTCTCAGCCCCCTCTTGAACTCCTCGGTGTGATTTTTACACAAAGCATTTTTAACATCGGAAAGAGCGTAGGTCGCTATGACTTGATTCATCGTCAGACCTTGTTTCATTGTTAATTTTACAGGTTTTCTGGGCTTCCTAGACGTCTCGCTGTCATTTTCGTTTTGACGTACTCCATTCCCACCGCTCATAGTTTTTGCTGCCGTGGCGGCGTTCTCCGTCGCGCCGCCTGGTTTTGCGGCTGCCTTATTATTATTTCCAGCACTTAACGGATTTTTATTGCTCCGAACAGTAATTTTATTTTCGCGTTGTGTGTGATTAATGTCATTGTCTATTTCGACTAGCGCGCTTGAATCTGCGATATGAAGCTCGGGAGAATTCGCCTGGATGTGATTTAGGAAGTAGAGGATGTAGCACGCCGTTAAGCCTAAAAGAGCCGTGAAAAAGTTGAGATGCATTCTTTATGCAAATATGCGCCATTGTGCAGGTAATCTCGTTTTATACGAGCAAGTAGACGAGGGATGGGAACATTGTCATGTGATGATAAAGTTGTAAAGCGTAATAATAGCCTTTGCATTTCACAGAAAGGAAAATTACTAGTGTAAACAGAAAATGTATATTTATGAAGAGATGGAAATTACATACAGTAGAATAAACGTAAATGATATACCAAACAGCGACATAAAGCATTTTGTGATGGATCAATTCGACAAAACTGTTATATTCTTTTCTAAGATGTTACATTTATGGAATTACACATGCACACATGTTTCACACATGCAACTGAAATATGAAATGTTTCACTACACTCCAGTTTTTTAAATTGCCCCTAAAACCTAAAAAAACAGCCAAAACTAAGCCTACGGTAAGTTTTTCCTTGAGCAAAACCCTGGTAACGAGTCCACTTATAGCCTTTGTGGAGCTCATTCCATATTTTGGGTATTCAAAGTCACAATCACGCCTTCCAACCCTTCAGTTTTGGGAGAATACCGGAAAATCACCTCTAAATCCCACAAGTCCTTATATTCGTTTCATTCAAGTCAAAAATTCAAAACACGAATTTACAGCTAGAAACAGCAAGATTCACATCTATACAAAAACTTTAAAGATATACAGGGTGTCCCTGAAAAGGATGGACAACGCTTGACTACAGGTTCCTTGGATGAAAACAAGACTATTCAGCCTAACTTACCTATATACAAAAGTGTACGCCTACTGAGATATAGCCTTCTAAATATAGAACAGATAACCTAGTTTTTTTCAAATAATTTGAAAACTGTTTTTCTTAGAAACTTCAAATTTGTTACACATATTTTTTTATATAAGGGCAATGTAAATATGGAATTTGGTGAGAATACATATACAGGATGTTCTCTTTCTAGTGCCTGTGCGCCACTGACTATCCCGTAACTTTTTTGTATGTACGCCAATGACGACAGAATTTATATTTTTAAAAATAAGCACTATTTTAGAAGATTTTTTGCCTCTTACAAAATTTTGATATCGTTTATGGATTTCGAGTAAAATTGGCATTTTTTACACATTAAATAATATAAAATCAGTTTAAGATAAATAGAACATTCTAGTACGAGGTGCCATATAACAGAGAAACAAATTCATAACAATAATTAAAAGGTTCTGTGTCAAGCTAGCTGTGATTTAATTTTAGCTTACTTTGTTTTTTATTGCAATTTATACTTTTGCTGAACAAACTGATATGTTAGTAGTTTTGGGTTATTGTGAAGGAAATTGTTGTGCTACTGTTCGAACATATGCTGAAAGATTTCCTAATCGAAGAACTCCAAATCACAAAACATTTGCTAATGCGGAGAGACGCCTTAAGGAAACAGTACGTTTTTTACCTGTAACATTAAATCGTTGATAATGTACGGTCGGAATTATTCAGTTGGTGAAACAAATTTTAGAAAGGGTCGAAAAAATTCCTCAAGTAAATAAAAGGCGTTTAGCGGCAGAGGTTGGCTTTCAAAAAGTTCCTTTAATAGAGTATTAAAACACCAGTTATTACAGGTTACTGGTATTACAGGGTACAAGTAGGTATTACAGGTTATTAAAGGTCTAACAAGTGGATAGGTAGAGGAAATAATGCACCTTTAAAATGGCCATCTCGATCCACGGACCTAAACCCATATAATTATTTCATTTGGGGAGCGTTTAGGACCACAGTTAAACTAACTTTTCGGTAAATACAGAAAACGAATATGGGAAAGAATACAACATGAAATTAATGTTATGAGAGGTAATGCACAATTATTGGATAATTTCTAATTTTCGAAGAACTAATATTTGCGTTTAAGAAGAAGGAAGTAAATTTGAGCATTTACTGTAATATTATTTTAATTACAAATATCAGTTTATTTAAAATGTTAATGTTGACTTTCTTACATTATTAGTTGATATTGTTTATTTAAAATATTAGTGTTGATTTTTATTTTATTGATTGATAGTACTAATACCAAAAATGTGGTTATTTTTTTTAATGTGACGTTTTTTCATTATTATTCCCTGCTTTGAGGCTGCAGTTATAAATTATTTTTTATAAATCTGCCTTTTTGCCTATATTTAATGTATAAAAAATGCGAATTTTACTCAAAATCCATAAACAATATCGAAATTTTGTAAGAGCAAAAAAATTTTCTAATGTAGTGCTTATTTTATTTTATTTTATAAAAATATAAATTCTGTCGTCATTGGCATACACCCAAAAAAGTTACGGGATAGCCAGTGGCGCACAGGCACTAGAAATAGAACATCCTGTATATGTACTCTCCAAATTCTATATTTACCTTGCCCTTATATAAAAAAATAAATGTACCAAATTTGAAGTTTCTAAGAAAAATTGTTTTCAAATTATTTAAAAAAAATAGGTTATGTATTATATATTTAGAAGGCTATATCTCAGTAGGCGTGCACTTTTGTATATAGGTAAGTTAGGCTAAATAGACTTATTTTCATCCGAAGAACCTGTGGTTATGCGTTGTCCATCCTTTTCAGGGAAACCCTGTATATTTACTTCAAAACTAAAGTATCAACATTTAAAGCTATTTGTTTATTATCATTGACACATTTTTAGATATACTATAGGGTGCATAAAATAAATCGTTACAGGGTGGACCAATAATATATTTATACTACTTACACAATATATTTTACAACAACAATAATAATTAATTTATTAAAATATGATCATCATCATCATCATCTTCATCATCAGGGACACACCAATGCTCAGTTTGGGACGTTTACTGTTTAATATTATTATCAATGAGTAGTATAATACAGGGTGTTTTTAAAATGCATCATTAAAGGGTGATTCAGCATTAACAAACAATAGTAGCTGGTAAGTTTTTTCAAAATGTCATTTATTTTCAAGGTACACCTTGTCAAAGTTCAATTTTTTAATTTAATTTGTTTAATTTATTTGCTATCAACATTTGGCACATATACTTCGTTTCAATAAGTGTTGCTAGAGGGCAGTTTACCTAAAAATCGATAAAAGATACGAATTTTCCATTACTTTTTTGTCTTATTGCTAATGTTAATCAATCACTTGAAAGATAATAAACTTTTTTTAAAAGTCGTCTATACACTTTAAAAAAATCGCTCAAATTCACTCAATTTTACTCAATACTGTATCGTTTTTCTCTAATATGATTTAAATTTAACTATTATAGAGTAATTTTGCACTACGAAAATTTCAGACGAATAGATTGTTATAACATACATTGTACGTTGCACATACGTAAGTAAGTATTGGTAACAATTTAACTATTTTGCTATTTTAATTATTGTAATCAAACCACTTAATTTAAACATAATTTCCACCAAAATAAACGGACACTTGTCCAGCACTACACGCCATACACTACGCCACGAGATGACCTAATGGGGACGATGGGAATTGACAAAGACAACGCACGACAGCCATAGAATAGGGTCACTCAATAATGAGGATATTTACTCCGTTTTAGCTACTAGTGCACGAGTTTATCTGCAAAATTTATTTAACGGGTATACCTATATTTGAGTGAAAGTACTCAGTTTTAGTTTAAATATCATAAATTAGTAAAATTATCAAAATGCTTCACTCCGAACCTTTATTGCTTTCACTAACACCGATTTTTTTACAGTGCATTCAATTCAATAACTTGGTATATTTTTACAAATTTTCTCTTTTTTTACCTTTGAATAGCATATGTTGATTTACCGCCCCTTCACATAAATTCATCCCCTACCATACCTGTGCCTTGGAATAAGTACGTACTAAGTTCACTTGTAACGCAGTTCGACATAATCTTATAAAAATAGCCAAAATGTAGATGTGCACCATTTTTTTCCGCATTTCTATTAGCTGCAAACAGGGTCCATCCTACACAACGACATCAAAATCTCTCCGATCAGACCAACCCTGCGCTCAGCGGTCACTGCCGAACATTTGTTATACCTACTCTCCTATAATACATGTTACGTTGTTCTTATTTTCCTAAGGTCTAGCGTTTCACTACCGATTCCTTAAACATTTCTTTTTTGGGGATATTTCTCTCATTTGTGTAAATGCTATTATCTTGGGATCGTATGTTAAAAAGTAACATCTATACACGCGCAGTAGCATACCAAATATTGTCCAAATCGGTGAAACTGTTTTAGAGTTGTTTGAAGAAATATTTTGTCAACTTGGTCAATCTGTAGCAGTTAAATGCAGCAACTGTGGATAGTTAAATTATCTTATTCCAACCCCATAGATCTGTGTTAGTAGTTATTACATAGAATATTGGGACACCTTGTATTAGCTTTGACATTTAATGCGTGATTGAACTGAACGGTTTACTTAGAAGAGGATTTATGTTCTGAAATTCCTGATGCTTGGCCATGAAAAAGGAGTCAGTAGCTGAATAAGGCTGATTCGGCTTTGCATAAATCAATAACGTGCCACCTTTAGCAGCACCTTAAATATTCAAAACTTTGAAAGCCTAAGTCTCTTAAGGAGATTTTCATTCAAAAAGTTCCGTAATCTTAATACAATATTCAACAACACAATTCCAACTGTATCTTATAAGCTAATGCGTCTATTTGGGGAATTAGTGAACGGAAGGCCTTCTATTATGTGAAAATAAATCCCAAAGTAAGTAAGAAAACTTATAAATCTTTTAGTCTCAACAAATCAGGAAATTAAGGAAGATTTGTAACACACCTGGAAATTCCTAGGCGACTATAAATCCTCCGTCGAGGTAACGGCTCCATAAAAAGTAAATTAATAGTTAAACTTATCAAACCCGTAAC